GCTGACGTTCTGTATCACGCCGAGTCACGAAGAGCAGTTACCGGCTCTACTGCAAAGTCTCTACGATATCACGTTAGCAACGGCAGTTTCTGCAGACTGCATGAGATGAGAAAACACACTTATGGGGCTGGAGAGGTGGCTGCTCTTCCAGGGGATCGGGTTCGATTCCTGGCACCCACATGCGGCTCACAAACGAGTACAACCCCCAGTTCCAGGGGATCCCACGCCCTAGCACAGACATACGCACAGGCAAAACACCGATGAACACAAAATAAATAGATCTTTTTAAAAATACACTTAATGTCATTAATATGATCTTTAATAAATGGAATAACGCACCATTTTACAGCAAGCCTTTTTAAACCTAAAGAACTGCCTTAAAACTTCCTTTGCCAATGTCTCTGTCTCAATACAATCTTTTTATTTAGGTTTATATATATCAAAGCATTTACTTACACTTATTCATAGAAAACTCTTTAGTGGCTTAATGTCAGCGTTCATAGTGGCATCCATAGATAATACAAAAGAAAGTGATCTGCTTTAGTTCGTACTCACACTGCTCCATCAAACACAACTTTTACAGCATAGCAAGCTCTCAGATGGCTTATACAAAAGCAAAATAACTGAAAGTAATTATTCATAAACTCACACACGATTTTCTATCTGTAATGTAAGAACAAAATACACCAACAGAAGATACCCGTTAACAAGAAAGAGGGTTCCGAGGAGGAGCCGGCCTCGCCAGCCTCCCCAGAAGTGAATACTCGGCAGCTGGTGTTTCTCCTGTCTGTTCAGAAAAAAACACGGCAGCCACACATACATCTCCACGTTTCAGCTATAACAACCTAAGAGTTAGTGTATTTTACAGTTATCCATGAAATTCACTTGAAAAATTAGCAACAGAAAATTCTGGATGACTCCAGCTTACACAAACACTTATACAATACAAGCTCTACAGATATGGAGACATAACATACAATGTCGCTTAAATAAATAAACGTTACCAGGAAAGAAAAAAAGCCACGGAAGTCAGCAACTCAATATTGAATTGAAACCTAATTGCTCTGAATTGCATTTTTTAGTCATTAGTTTTCTTACTCTTATACATCTTTACAAGTGTTTCTTTTATATACTTAAGACTGATAACAAGGCAGGGAGCCCGAGACAAGAGACTGACTACAAACAACTCCACTGCTAAGATTTAAACACACAGCAGACCAATTAGAGCTTAAGTTTCTCTGACTTAAAGAAAAATTGTTTGGCTCTGCCAGTGTGAAAACCGGTTCCCATAGATCACCTTCTCAAAGCCATCACTACAGCTGCGGTCATGACCTCACTTTCAGAAGAAAGTTTTATAATGTTAATTATCTCTTAAGAAAATTCTATCTCAGAATTACTTTTCCTAAGCTCTCTTATTAAAAAAAAAAAAAAAACCCAACCACAAACCAAAACGAAACACTGGCTCCATCACATGTAACCACGGAACCAAGAACAGAACGTGTTTAAGCCGGTGTTTTAACTCCAAGGCTTAAATCTGCCAAACCACGCGGCCAATTGGTTGAGTCATTCCTTCTATTCAGTAATTACAGAACTGGGCAAGTTTTTACGATTAATGAAATCAAATATCATGTTGATGTGAATTAAGTCAAATAATAGGATGACACATTACTATGCAACAAACACTTTTAAATATCCAGCTAGACCTAATTGCTTGTTTGCTATCAACTGACGGTGTCCGTGTACAAACAGACGGAAGGCGCCCTGAGATTTTAGGTAATACTATGTCTAAAGGTGATTCAAACCATGAGATGTTTCTGAAATTTAAAACACAAATAAAATGGGGGAGTCTTTTAAAAAGAAGAAAAACAGTTAAGCCGTAATTTCAAGTACAGTCAATTTTCTTTAAAATACAAACTGGACATCCTAATGAAGCAATTTAGTTCTAAAGATTCCTTCTGCTCGGATTTTGATGTGGGCTCCAAACTAAATTTTACAAATGAACGTGTGTGCTTACAGCGTTCATTAGAAACACCTCAAACACCATAGTGATGATAAAACTGGAATTCTACAGAAGATTCAACAGATTTATTTGGGGCATAATTTTAACATATAGTATAGCCTCTTGAATATTTACTTTCAAATCTATATGCCATGAGATAAAATTTGAAAATTTACTTTCTATGCAAACACCCAACTTTAACTACTTGAAAGTTAAATAAAAATTGTCTCAGTCCATCCACTCTATGCTGCAAAAACAATGGTAAGCATTTCAAAAGTGGTCTACAAAAACACAAAAATATGCATGGATAATACCTGATTTTTGTAGGGTCTGCTTTTGAAAGTTAATTTTGCATTTAGTGTTTAATACAGTATTTGATATGAAGAAAAATGTACAATATTTGTTGTGGCTCAATCGTAATACTAAAACTCCCTGTGACGTGGTGCGAGTTTAGTAAAAATGACACACAATTACAAATGCTTATATGCATGGCTTTTTAGCTCTACCTGTGCAGATATAAAATCATAACATACACTTTAATAGAAATGTAGCTACTACAAAATTAAGTGCTGAATTTTGGGTGGTATGATGATTTAATTCAATGTCAAATGGCAACATCTGTACTCTGAACCCTATCAAACTGCTGTGCTATAAATTAACAGGAGCAATTCACTTGAATATAACATAGAATTTTATGTGCTTTTAAATATAAATAAAGTCATTAAAATAGATGAGAAAAGACCTAAAAGAACTGGGGCAATTTTATCTGATGAACAGGGTTAGCCGAGAAGCCCGAAGCTGACTAAGAGCAACAGAGAGGACGACCATCTATTCTCTTTTCCCTGTGAAGTATGAGGAACACAAAAATCACATGTGAGAGACAGAACAGGTATGAAGAAAACTCTCCTGACACGGGGGGAGGCCTGCCCAGGAGGTAACCAGCCAGCCTGACCTAATCAATCAGCACGGTTAGGAAGGGATCATGTAAGGTAGTTTGTGGACAAAGTTTGCATAGTTCATAATCTAAACAAAAAGGTTAAAATGCAACTTTATCTTCTGGAAAACAAAAAACACCACACCCCGCTGTTAGTCAAGGGTGTGAATATTGAAAGTTATCATAGCTTAAAAAAAGATTCCTGGGGTCTCTAAGGGAGTGTCACACACTTCCCGAAATCGCAGGTCTAGAACATCAGCTAGCATGCGTGAAGAATCTATCTTTTAAGGAATTAAGGATATAAAGTAAGTATATGTATATATTTAAAAAAATCTGTGGATAGTCATGTAATAACATACACAATGACAGGTACTAAGTTCAACATAGGCTTTAAAAATATGGTATAAAATAAAATACAATATCAAATACTATGAGGGTCTCGCAATGAAATATTCATGTCCATAAATATGGAAACAAGAAACGTTTATTGAATTTTTTTTCATTTTAAATGACTTGTTAATAGAGACTAAATGTGCAATGTAACAGTTGCAGCCTACCAGGTATTCCTTTGGGATTCAGAAATCAAACTTGGAAATATTTTAAATAAAAATATCTGTCAGAATTTGTGATAAATCCCACTGGATCTGAGTGTCCTTTCTCCACTTTCTCATTCAGAACCAACACACAGTTTCTGGAACAAATACACACATGTAAGGAAGCTATGACAACCTGCTTTATAAAAATGGGTATTAGCAGCCGGGCAGGCGGAGGCAGGAGGATCTCTGTGAGTTTGAGGTCAGCCTGGTCTACAAGAGCTAGTTCTGGACAGGCTCCAAAGCTACAGAGAAATCCTGTCTCGAAAAAGCAAAACATTAATAATAATAATAATAAAGGGTATTAATTTTGTGTTTTTCTACATCATATACGTCTTATTTGGTTCTCTGACTTAACATTTTTTCTAACATTTGCTAAAGCCGAAATTTTACAGATGGGGTCAAAGGGTTGAGAAGACTGAAAACTTATATTAAACTTTTTTCCAAATCTAATATGGGATCACTTTAGGGTCTCTGTTCCCTCAGCTTCCTTCAGTTCTGCAATGTATCAGAAGAAAAGTGACATGATTTTAGGGGGTAGGCTGAATTTTGTACTGAATCAGTAACTGTCTCTTAAGCAATAGTGATTACCTAACTTCTCAAGCCATTAAGTTATCTGGCGTGGCTTATATACAAGCCACAAGTCTGCTGGAGTAAAAATGTCAGTGTATCACACATCTGTCCACGGATGTAGACCGTGTGTGGATGAAAGAGATGTGTAGAAAGGAACCTGGGATTTCACCCTAGGTAAACTTGGACAAATTAGCTATTGTCTCTTAATGTTTCCTTGTTCGTAAAATATGAAAATTAATTAAAATATGGTTGCTGTGAAGATGAAAATATAGTGCGTGTAGATGCCAGTTTTCAGAGTATGTCCTTTCACAATGCCCACAGTAAAAGTGGTTTTAAATTATACATTTAAATGTTTTAGGGTTTCTATTTAAATCACTTTATTCTATACATAATTCGAATCAAGTTCTTTCCATTACTTACTTTTGGTATACGATTAGGACTTTAGGATTGATCTTTATATTTTTTAGTTATGTGCACGTCAGGAGGCTGTGACCAGCCATGGAGCTGCTGTGAGTTCAACCTGGGTCCTTGGAAAAGCAGAAACCACCGTTAGCTGCCTTGCTGCTTCTCCAGCCCCACAAATGGCATTTTTTAAAGAAAATGTCCTGTTATGATTCTTTAAAGATTATAATACTGTTCAGGGAAATATTTTTGAACTGAATGACTTTTAATCAAAAGGCCCAACATTAATTTTTATGTGAAATCTTCGGTAAATTCAGCTTCAGCTTCAAGAATCAGATAAATAAAGTGACCAAGTAAATTAAGTTATTAAAGGGATTTTTGAGCCGGGCGGTGGTGGCGCACGCCTTTAATCCCAGCACTCGGGAGGCAGAGGCAGGCGGATCTCTGAGTTCGAGACCAGCCTGGTCTACAAGAGCTAGTTCCAGGACAGGCTCCAAAACCACAGAGAAACCCTGTCTTGAAAAACCAAAAAAAAAAAAAAAAAAAAAGGGATTTTTGAGTGCTCTGTATTATAAATTCCAACATTTATTAAAAGGACCTATGCTTTCTGCTATTCCTATTTGTCAAGCAGTTACCATGTATCAGTGAAAGGAATTATTTGTTTTAAACATATCTGCATGAGATTGGAAACGATACCCTTTCTCTTTTAACCTGGCATACTACTTTTTAAAGCATTTCATAAATGTATTAACCATTGAAGACTGTTGGGAAATTCACAAGTGATTGGCCTTAATATAAACTATTAGAATGTAAGGCAGTTTTCTGAAAGAGAAGGACCAGCTGGACCTCCGGGGGACATTTATTCTCAGTGCTTCAGTTAGAGATAGAAGGAATATAATCTATTTTGATTTAAAGTTGTCCGACAACTGAAAAAAACAAAAATCCTGAAATGCATCTCAAAGACATTTGGACAGACAAGGAAGTAAAAGACAAAAGTTATTTGTTACATAGATTTAAAAAAATGGTCACTACCTGAAATAAACTGATGTCAGAAGACAAAATTTATTTTAAGAATCTGAGTTCAAAGCCAGCCTGGTCTACAGAGTGAGTTCCAGGACAGCCAGAGCTGCACAGAGAAGCTCTGTCACGAAAAAAACCCAACCCAAAACAAAACAAGACAAATCTGACCCAGAAGAGGGGCCAAGAAAGCACAAAGGGGAGAAAGGAGTCCCGGGAGAATAAGACCATCTTAATCCAAGGACTGAGACTCCAGTCAGCAGCCCAGCTGAATAAATGCTTTAAATGTTGTCACATCAAAGCAGCGCAGCAGATGGCAAGTCAAAGAAGTCACAAGTGCTGTGGACAGTGTGCTGGGAAAGGGGCCGTCTTTAGTTAAATCGTGAGGGCAGAGGGTTTCAAATGAGAAAATGGTGTTCAGGACACCAGAACTGAGATCAGGAATTTGGAGACTTACACTTAACTTTTTTACCTCCCCCCTGTAAAAAATTAAAACTTAATCAGATAATGCACAATAAGAATTTTGAGCATCTGAAAACATGAGAACCTTTTGTTTGCAAACTGGCTGGGAAACAATGTTTAAGGAAAATCCATATCTGACAGAAAGTGCTTCATTAAAAGACAGAGCCTGGTTTACGGATCACTCGTGACAAAAGGAGAAGCAGAGAGAGCGCGGCTGTGACCTCACCGTAGGCTGTCACCAGAAGGCAGGTTCTGCCACAACACGAGTAACAGACGCTGCTCAAAGTCGAGGATCATGTGAAATTGGCAAGGGGAGAAATCATGAAAACAGGATTAGCAAAGAAAGTTAGGGAAGAAAGAGGGCAAATCTTAGCTGTCTCAATAGTCCTATGTCTGGCAGCAAGCCCTTCTTCCACGGGACTGGGCATGCTGGCTGACTGAGCTTTCCACACAGTGTTTTAGGTCATGGGAAGAAGAATCGTTTTCACATAAAGCTGTCACGCTTTGCTGGGAAACAATAAAAGATATTATAAATTCAAAACTATGAGTTTTTCTGAGGTTATAAATAGGAAATGTAATTTAATTTGTGATGGTCAGAAAAACCAAAGTTCCTACACTACATCGCCTTGCCCATCTACTTACTTAAAAATTCCACTTAAGTTTAGCTCTATAAATTTTCTGATAAAAAGTATTTATTAAATAAACGAATATGGAACATGAACATACATAGAAAAAATAAAATGGAAATGGCTAGTGTTTGCTTTCTTCTATTTTGTTCTATGCTCTCTTATGAACTTCCAAAATCAGAACCAAATATGCCTATTAAAATGCCTGGAAGGAAACACTTAGTATTTGGAAGGCTAAAAGACAAAGGCATTTCAAGAAAGGTCTTGGTGAGTCCTTTTTGGAGCCCTTGGAACAGTATCTATGCATTCTCCCTAAGGAGGAAGCCAGAAAATGTTCATCTTATCGAAGAATGGGGGACAGGTTTCAACAGTGGAAGAATGTGTGCCCTGCTAGGGAGAGCTGCTAAGAAAGCTTCTCTGTGGTCTGAAGACTATTGCACACTCAAATAAAACACGAGAGAAGAATGTCCAACAGACGACACAGGAATGAGCTTGTGCCCGGGACACCACTGCAGTCGGGCCCGTCTCCTGCTTCTGCTTTAGTGACCTTTAGAAATGGTCCAAACTGATTATCAGCAATACACTGGTTTTGTTTTTTTTTCTTAAAAAAATATTTTGAGACCACTTTTGATACGCACACACATAATGTGGTCATAACAGACAAATATAACTTTAGCAAGACTAAACAAAAGTGCAAAACTTAAAAAACAAAATTAAAAAATATGGAAGCATGAGCTAAAATTTTCTGCATAGCTGAAATCTATTTAAAGCAAGTCCTGGTGTAGGGTGGGAAGGGTGCTGACAGGAGGATAAAGCAGTTTGTTTTTTAAATGTCTTCTGCATGTTTAAATGATGCAAAAAAATAATTTCACTCCATAAGATTGGAAACATCTCACAGACAATTCATCCCTATATCCTTAGACACCATGGTGGTGGCAGTGCCTCCTTCTGCGAGGTACACAGCAGTGCTAGATTTAGAATGGACTGCTCGGTCACTCCCATTGTTGTTGACCTCACAGTCCAGGGGTTCAGTGGAGATGACCCACGTGGAGGGGCGCCACCGCTTAAGGGAGTATGGAGTTTTCACGCGTTTCTTGATCTTTTCCCCTGATCCTGATTTGCCATCCTGTGTGGACTCACCTACTGAAAACAAAAGCACAGAGATGAGCTGTAGGAAAGGACAGATTTACAAGTACAGGGGTTGGGCTGGATACAATGTAGCCTGGTCCCAGGACCACTGAAACCCCGCTGGTGCTGTGGGAGCCGAAGCAGGAGGACCAGAAGCTCAACACTATCCTTGTCTCGACAGCTACTACAGAGCCCAGCCTGAGCTACACAAGACTCTAACAATGTCATGCACAGGCTCAGCCGGCATCTAGAGACCCAAATGACGGATATTTCTCTAAATATGTGATGCTAGACAACGTTTTCCTAAGTAAAATTCAACCAACTCATTTTTGAGACATAATTAAAAAAATAAATCTCACAAGAACTGATAAAATTCAAAATTCTTCTCATTTTGTTTATTTAATTTTTGAGACAGGGTTTCCTGTGTAGCCCTGGCTGTCCTAGAACTCTGCAGACCAGGCTGGCCTCAAACGCACAGAGATCCACCGGTTTCCGCATCCCAAGTGCTGGGATTAAAGGTGTGCGCCACCACTGCCAGGCAAGAAAATTCAAAATTCTTCATTGCATTTTCAAATCCTCTTGCTCTGGTACAGACTTCAACTTGCTAAAAACACTTATCATTTGACTTAATGCTGAAAGGTGGGCTAGGTATGAAGTGGGTGATGTATTCCTGAAATTCCAGGTTCTTAGGAAGCCGAGGCACGAAGATATTGAATTCCAGTCCAGCCTTTGGCACAATGAGTTATAAAGTGGGTCCTTATCTCAAAAAGACAAAGCAAAACAAAAAATGCTCAAAGTGGACCAAACTCAAAAGGCCTTTAGCATGTAATGGTTTTACAGGGACCAACATTTCCCCATAATCCTCTGTTCTCATATTTGACAAGATGCTTTGTGCATACAGAAGCAAGCAAGGTGTGTCAACTAGCTTGTAATATAAACCACTTGAGTAACGGGCGAGGATTTTGTTTTTTTCTTTTTCTTTCTTTTCCTTTTCAACACAGGGTTTTTCTGTGTAGCCCTGACTGTCCTGAACTCACTCTGTAGACCAGGCTGTCCTCATCAAACGTAAAGGTCTGTCTGCCTCTGCTTCCTCAGTGCTGGGGTTCATAAATGAATTATTTTACCCAGTAATGACTGTTAAGAGATCCTGGTGAGCTCTCCTGTCTTGGGCTGTAACCTCGTAGAGCAAGGGAGCACGCTGCAGTTTATCTGTTGTGTGTGAGCCTCAATAAAGTCGGCACTTAAGGACTGAGAACAACTTCAGTGCTTCCTGAGACTTCTCTTGACTTCTAGGACTTACTGGGTGTGGAGGCACAGGCCTTTAATCCCAGCACACTGTGAGTTTAAGACCAGCCTGGTCTATACAGCTAGTTCCAGGGCAGCCAGGGCTACAAACAGAGACCTTGTCACAAACAAACAAACACGAAATACATATAAAGACTTACTAAGTTAAAACTAAAAGTAGATTTAACATATGATTATGTATAACAAATGCTTTAGAAGTAAAAGTAGCATAATGTTGCCACCTGGTGCTCTGACCTTACTATGTGCTGATTTAACCTCCTCTGTCACAACAAGTACATGACCCACATCATAAAGAAGCCATCAAAAAACACATAGATTAAGCTGGCAATTGCAATAATCCTTCCGAGGCCCAGTCACTGTCTCTGGAGGTGACAGGGTAAAGACTCTAAAGGACACTTACTCTGTATACTGCTGCCATCCAGGATATTTGTGGCTGAAAGATCCAGAGAACTGGGCCTCTGTGCTCTTCTGGGCTTCGATGGCCCAGGATCTGCAACTGTGCTTGTAATACCCTGTGGAAGTCCATCTTGTTCTGAGCACGGATTGCTGTTGTTGTTATTGGAATTAGTTCGGCTCCCTTCGAGGGGCCGTTCCCGCCTGTCTACCAAACGGTCCAGAACCCCTTCATCATGGCCAGCTTGCTGCTCTCGTCTCAGTAAAGGTTCATGCTCATCAGGACTGGAATTAATATTCAGCCGGGTATCCTCACCAATAAACTGATTCTGCAGCATGTCTTGAGCCCTCTGTGCCACTATGTTGGCCGCCTGGCCAGACGGCACCGTCCCATTGGCATACTGGGTTGTGGCGGCATGGGAATTAACAGTGTGGCTTCTCCCTGCCACCCCATTCATAGTCACCGTCACTACGTGAGGTTCTGCGGCATTGATTGTATTCATCTTGGCAACTCCAGTTTCTACCTGTTTCAAGTTTGATTTGTGCTTGTTGCCAAATTTTAGCCGGGGTTCTTTTGTTGAATTTTTGGTGTTCAAAGGCAAACTAGTGGGTCTCTTAGGCAGGTTCTGTTGCTTAGGGAGAGGATAGAGCTGAGCGGGCGGAACATCAGGAATTAAGCAGGCCTGGCCGTTTGCAGCCTGTGTGAAGTCCTGCTGCCCAGTTACTTCCACTGCGAGCTTTATGAGTGGATAAAGCAGGCTGGAACTGGTACTGCTCAAGGGGTCTGGCCCACTGAACTGCTTGAGAGAGTGTTCCATGAGGTTCTCGTCAGAGCTTTCCTTGAGGTTCTTATCAACTTCTTTTGGGTCTAGCTTATTGGTTTCCAGGTCTTCTTCCGTCAGCTGCAAGCAGACAGGGGTCGGCCCAATCGGCTGCGCAACATTCGTGGCATGCAGATTGGTTTCATCTGGGTACGGCATCTCAGAGATGGTGGTCATGCCAGTACTCGGAGTGAGGCCCGTGGTGTTTGTGGTGGTTGTGTTTGTGGACAGGCTGGTGACGCTTGTTTCAGGGCTGGGGATCCGAGCTTGTGCTTGCTGCCGTTCGTAATTAATTGAGTTTCGGTTCTTTTCTCCTACAGTCAAAGGCGTGCTGCTGGACATCGAATGCTCAGAGGAAATATTTTTCACAATGCTGTCAGTGTGGTGTATGGAGTCTTCAATATACGAGGAAGAAGAATAATCCGGATAAGGCCCAATTTTTGGCACACGCCTATTATGTGACAGGTTGCTTGAAGAAAGAAAAGAAAAGGAATGACCATGGGAACAGAGACTTACGACGAACTGCCTATTCCAAGTAAACACCAGATTTCAAAGTCCAACTGCTTCTTATTTTGTGCTCTGCATTTTTACTGCACGTAACTATTTAGTGTATCTGGGTACGTGCGGAGAACAGAGGTCAACTTGTGGGGGTCTCAGGAGTCAAACCAGGCTGTCAGTCTTGGCAGCGGGCATGTCACCCACCCAGCCGTCTCACCAGCCTATTTCACTCTTAAATCACAGTTAAGAGGTAGTACGTGCTAACGGCTCGCTGAATACAAATTTTGTTTCGGCTTACAAAGAGTTAATTAAGTGGCTGGAGGGATGAATCGGTGGTTGAGAGGCTCAGCTGCTCTTTGATTCCCAGCACCTCCATGACAGCTCACAAGTACCTCTAATTTCAGTCCCTGGAGACCCAGCGACACCTTCTGGCCTTGGCAGGCATTGCAGGAACACGGGGCACACACATTCAGGCACTCATATAAACAAAAAATAAAAATAAAATCTTAAGCCGGGCAGTGGTGGTGTACATCTTTAACCCCAGCACTTGAGAGGCAGAGACAGGTGGATTTCTGTGAGTTCGAGGTCAGTCTGGTCTCAGAGTGAGTTCCAGGACAGTCAGAGCCACACAGAGAAACCCTGTGTTGAATAAACAAACAAACAAACAAACAAACAAACAAAAACACCTCAAAAAAGAAATAAAAGAGTTAATTTTAAAAATATCACCTATAATTTTATAATATCAACATCTTTTATGAATTATATACCTATACGAGTAACATTATTTTGTAAACAGAGGAACCATGGGATACGTTTATTTTTATTCCTGTAACCCTAGGTCCAATAGTATATGCACAACAAATAGGTACATGCTAACAATGGAACACACCTTTCTGCAGGAGCCACTACTGGTGTAAGTTTCTATAGAGCTAAGCTATGAGGCAGAAGACGGCACTCGGATAAAGGAACAAAGCTGAATGGCCAATAAATAGGCACGAGAAAGGACAGGTGGGGCTGGCACGTAAGGAGAATAAACAGGAGAAATCCAGGGAAGAGATTGAGGGTTGAGAAAAGAAGAGGAGGAGGATGCCAGAGGTTAGCCACGGAATAAGGAAAGAAAGATGTGCAGAATATATAGATGTATATAAAGAAAGGTTAAAAAAAAAAAACCAAAAATCCAGAGGCAAAACATATACAGGATCATTTAAGTTAGAAAAGCTGACTAGAAACAAGCCAAGCTAAGGCCGGGCATTCACAAGTAAGAATAAGTCTCTGTGTGTTTATCTGGGAGCTGGGTGGTGACCCCCAGAGAGGAAAATCCACCTACAGTTCAGGACTGCTCTTCAGTTACTGAGGACCCCACTGGCCCCATCGCTCCTGGAGGTGACAGTTCCGGACGGTCACAATTACATATTATTTAAAGTCTCTTTACAGGAAGTATTGGGGACGGGCTTCACTGAAGTGACCACGGGTCCTGGGAGTATTAACAGAGAAAAGCAGGACAAGAGAATCAGCTCAAGAAAAAGAGGATCTGTAAAGGAGACTGGCGTCTGATGCGGGAATAGCAGCAACCATGAAAAGGGGAGCTAAGGAGATATGGAGAGGTTAGGGCAGAGTGAGATGAAGCCCACAGTGCAAACAACCCTTATGTGAGCCCTCATATAGGAGAAACTAGGGAGAGATGGGGGTACAAAGAGCCAGTGAATAACACAAGGGGGAGGAAAACCAAAGTAGAGGCTAGGAGTTGGTTTTTTTTTTTTTTAATCACTCAAGAAAAATTCAAAAGTATTTAAAGTAGAAGCTTCAGCTGACTTTAAAAAAAAAAAAAAAAGACTTTATGTAGCCAGGCGATGGTGGTGCACGCCTTTAATCCCAGCACTCGGGAGACAGAGGCAGGCGGATCTCTGTGAGTTCGAGACCTGGTCTACAAGAGCTAGTTCCAGGACAGGCTCCAAAGCCACAGAGAAACCCTGTCTCGAAAAAAACCAAAAAAAAAAAAAAACCAAAAAAAAAAAAAAAAAAAAAGACTTCATGTATATGAGTATTCACCTGCAGTGCCTGCAGAGGTCAGAAGAAGGAGCTGGACTCCCTGGAACTGCAGTTACAGATGGTTAGGAACCACAATGTGGATGGGAACTGGGAACTGCTGGGGAATATTATTTTAGGGTGTGTGACTTTTGTTAGGCTGCATTTGTTTAACTCTGTGAAGCTGTGGTTCTTTGCCTGTCTAAAACACCTGGTGGTCTAATAAAGAGCGGAACGGCCAATAGCGAGGCAGGAGCAAGGATAGGCGGGGCTGGCAGTGAGAGTATAAATAGAAGAACTCTGGAGGAGGAGGAGGAGGACATCGGGACAGCCACCCAGCCACAGTGTAAGAAGGGAAGTAAGAAAGAGAAAAACTCAGAGGAAAATGGTAGGTGGGATAATTTAATATAAGAAAAGCAGGCAAGAAACAAGCCAAGGTAAGGCTGGACACTCCTAACTAAGAAGAAGCCTTCGTGTGCGATTTATGTGCGAGCAGGGTTGTGGGCCCCTCAAAAAGCCTAAAGAGTAAAAACAACCGACAACAGGGAACGGAACCAGGGTCTGCTGGGAGAGCAGCAAGGGATACAGAGCCCTCTCTGTATTCCCTTCATCTGACCATCGACAGATGTATGACCTGCAGACTTTAGATTATAGGGAAGCAGAAACACAGAAGATGGAGAAGACTCCTCTAATGCGCGTAAAGGGACAGCACTTCTATTTGATTTTATGAGGATTGGTGTGAGGGTGTCAGCTTCCCTGGAACTGACTTACAAACAGTTGTGAGCTGCCATGTGGGTGCTGGGAATGGAACCTGCGTCCTCTGCGAGAACAGCCAGTGCTCTTAACCCCCGAGCTGTCTCTCCAGTCCTAATGCCTTAGTTTTTATTTGGGATCTGAAGGTATAGTTGTAGCACAGGACAGAGAGAAGTATCGTGTGTTCTTTAAGCACCGCTGGAAAGCCAGTGCACAAGTCGTGTCCACTGCAACAGCAGTAGATACCCGACAGTCACATGTGCTTACGAAATAAAAACACCAATGAACACAAGACAGAACACAAAGAACATGTGCAAGGTATAACCTTTTACAACTATAAGAATATTTTATCTTTAACATTAAAGGTAAGTTACACTAATTTCCCCCTCCCCTTTTGGTTTCTTCAAACAGGGTTTCTCTGTGTAGCCTCTGGCAATCCTGGACCTTGCTCTGTAGACCAGGCTGACTAATAAAGAGTCATTTCTTTTACTGTATCTTTAGATATGAAATTACAGATTCTGTCTTGTATTCACACCACATAAATATTTTCCGTACAAGAATGGAAAGAGGCTGGAGAGAAGGCTCTGTGCTCAAGAGCAGGTGTTCTTCCTGTAGAGGACCTGAATTCAGTTCACTGCTCCATAGCTCCCAACTGCTTAAAATCCTAGCTCCAGAGGGAACTCACGCCTCTGGCTCCAGACACCCAAACTCGTGCACATCCCTGCTTCCACCTCCACACACATATTAAAAATAACAAAAATAAATCTTAAAAAAAACAACACTAGGGATATTGGGGGCTGCAGAGATGGCTCAGAGATTAAGAGCGCTGGCTGCTCTTCAAGAGGTCCTGAGTTCAATTCCCAGCACCCACAGCTCACAACCATCTGCAATGAAATCTAATGCCCTCTTCTAGCCTGCAGGCAGAACACCACAAACATAATAAATTTAAAAAAATATTACAAAGAAAACAATTTAAAGCTGGGTGGTGGTGGCGCACGCCTTTAAGCCAGCACTTGGGAGGCAGGGGCAGGTGGATCTCTGTAAGTTCGAGGCCAGTCTGATCTACAAGAGCTAGTTCCAGAAAGAAAAACGACAATCGCATCACTAGGCTGACTTAGCAGCGTTTGTTTCCTGTCCTTTACTTGGTCTCCGGGGCCAACAGCTAAGTGACAGCCGCGAGCCCCAGGGTCTTACCGTTCATTCTGCATGGCCGTAGACATGGGGTTGACCGTGGGGCTCACAGACTTGTTTCTCTCCCATATCATCATAAGCTCGGCCATTCTCTCCTCAGCGCACTGTGCCGTGAGCCGAGCCTCTGCGTCCTGGTCCCAGCAGTCTTCGATCGTTTCCTTGAGTGACCTCACCGCCTACAGCACAATCAGAGAGCATACTGTTTACAACTGTGCTCAAAGAAAATCAGGTTGTATATATATGTATGGTTTTGGTTTTTTTGGGAGGTTGTTTTCTTTTTTTTTCTTTTAGACTTATTTATATTCTGCATATCATATCTATCTGGGTTTTTCAAGACAGGGTTTCTCTGTGGCTTTGGAGCCTGTCCTGGAACTAGTTCTGTAGATCAGGCTGGTCTCGAACTCAGAGATCCGCCTGCCTCTGCCTCCCGAGTGCTGGGATTAAAAAGCATGTCACTATACCCAGCTATTTATTTTAATATTTGTTATAATGTTTATTTATTTCTTTAGGTTTCAGGGACTTAATTAAGCTACAGCTACAGCCCCAAATGTCCAATTTCAAACAAAAAAAAATTACAAAAGGAACCAAGTATTGTACTTGAAATTTTAGCATTTGGGAGGGAGAGGCAGAAGGTCAGGACCTCAGGGATATTCTTGATCTTAGAATGAAATCTTTGAGACAAGACTGGGATACATGAAATCCCGCCTAAAAATAAACAAAAAGCCAAAAGGAATGCAAAGAAACAAGAATGTGTTATCCATTTACAGGGAAATAAAATCTTAACAGAAATCAAGGAAGTACAAGTATTAGAGGTATCAAAAAATTTCAAGTGAACCAAAGAACTAAGAAAACAACAGATGAAGAACTGAATTAAGAAAACATCCCCCCCCCCCAGAGGGTTTCTCTCTGTAGCCCACTCAGACTGTCCTGGAACTCACTCTGTAGACCAGGCTGGCCTTGAACTCACAGAGATCTGCCTGCTTCTGCCTCCTAAGTGCTAGTAATAAAGGTGTATGTCACCATGTCTGGCCTAAGAAAACAATTCCTTAAAAATAATTTTATTTTTTTATGTATGTATCTACCTATCATCAATCTATCACCCATCTATCTATCAAATCAGGGGAAGTCATTGTTGTGGACATGCTCTGTAAGTAAGTTAAAAGGGTTCTCCAACTTGAAATTTAAAAAGTAATTCCAGGTAAGTATAAGAGTCAATAATCTTTGTTTGTTTTGCTTTGGTTTGGTTTATTTCGAGACAAGGTTTCTCTATGTAGCTCTAGCTGTCCTGGAACTCACCATGTAGACCAAGCTGGCCTCCAACTCACAGAGATCCGCCCCCCGCCCCCCCCCTCCCGTGCTGGAACTAAAAGAATGCTCCACTATGCCCACCTAAACTGCATTTTTTTAAAAATAGCTCTTCCTTTTTCAAAGAATTAATAAACCTTTAGTCACGTTAATAAACTATACACTTCCTCCCTAACTCTTGAACTGTATTGCCACTGCAGAGAAACTTTTCTTTTGGCTATACCATCTATATCAAGTTTAAATGGATTTGTTGGATGTAAACCAAATATTAAAAGTCCCTTGCTTAGCAACCTCATCTAAATTAGAAGTAAAGAGTTGTCAGGTAAATCTGTGTATGTTGCATATCCCACAACAGAGGGTTGCCGACAAACGCTTCAAAAGAACAGACCTTCGTCACCGCAGTGAGACGACACAAGATAAGGAGAGGAGGTCGCGACTGATTATAACAAACTCTCAGATCTCACAGACGTTTTCTATGAGGTCGGCAGCTCTGGGGAATCCTGGTAAGAGTACAATTCACCCCCTTACCTGCTTAAGGAACTGCCCAAGTCTGCTTAGCAAAAACTGCCATTTGGAGGCAACCGTGTGCATGAACTGAACATGCTCTTTAGTGGCCATATACTTAAAGGTTTCAATCTCATCTGATTGATCTGACTGAAATCTCATCAGCCGTGTGTATGAAGTGAACAAGCTCTTTAGTGGCCATATACTTAAAGATTTCAATCTCATCTGAAACATAAGACAGCTTTGAGATTAATCTACTAACAAAGATGACCACTAAGATGAAGCTCAATATCTGAAGGGATACATCTCTAGTCTCTCTCTCTCTCTGACACGAATGAAAATATTCTATTCTGTTGAGGCAATCTGTAAGTGGGATGGGAAAATATATAGTAAAATGATTTAAATTACTAAATTTCTTCATGTTCTTTAATTAGAGCTAAGAAAATTAATTTGTACTAAGTATAAAAATGTAATAAATACCTTCAGAAGTAATCATCATTACATTACTACCTTAAGAAGAGATCACTGAGGAAATACAAAGCAATACAACCTTCTAGAAATAAAAACAGGATTGTAGAAATTTAAAAATTTTAATGTATTTATTGGGGAAGAATGGCAAATGTCATGGTGTGCACTGGAGGTCAGCGAACACTGTGTAAATCAGTTCTCTCCTTGCACTCTGTGGGTTCCAGGAACTGAGATATGGCATTAAGCTCGGTGGCAGGGGCCTTGACCTGATGGGCCATCCTGCCACCCCAGGGAATTAAAAATATAATGAACTAACAATTGATACAACACTGTTAGTAAGAAACTAATGGGCTGATCAAAAGGTGAAGCTGAGCAAATGCTGAACAATTAGAACAACACTGAAAAACAGACAGAAGCTGGAGACGCAGCGCGGTTGGTAGAGTGCTGGCACACATGAAACCCACATAAACCAGCACGGTGGCACACGCACTCAGAGGCAGAGGCAGGAGTTCACTGTTATCCCCAGCTACGCAGTTAGTATGAACTCACACAGCCCTGTTTTCCAAACAGATAAACAAAAAACAACAGAAGGCGGGGGGGAGAGAAATTCAGACTTGGAATGTTAGGCGGTTCAATACTAGTTTAATGAGAATTCAAGGTTAAAGAAATGTAAGGAAAGAAGTATTTTTTTTTCTTTTTTGAGACAGGGTTTCTCTGTAGCTTTAGAGTCTGTCCTGGAACTCACTCTTGTAGCCCAGGCTGGCCTCAAACTCATAGAGTTCCACCTGCCTCTGCCTCCCAAGTGCTGGGATTAAAGGCGCACGCCACCACTGCCCAGCTGGAAAGAAGTAATTTTAAAATAAAAGCTAGAACTGGGTGGTGGGTCTCTAGTTCAAGGCCAGCCTGGTCTACAAAGCGAGTTCCAGGACAGGTAGGACTGTTACACAGAGAAAATCTGTCTCAAAACAAACAAACAAACACTAGAGAACTCGTGAAATGAGGAAAGTTTTGGATTTTCAAATGGAAAAATCTATTCAATATCTAGGAAAAATGTGTGAAAAGGTCTGCGCTAACATATACCCAAGTGAAAATTCAAAACTGCAATGGAAAAGTAAGTCTTAACAGCTTATAGAAAAACAAAAACCAAAACCCTGGTGTGGTAGTACATGCCTGCAGCTCAAATGTGGTGGTGAATGAGAATGGCCGCCACGGGCCTACACATCTGAATGCTCGGTCCTTAGTCAGGGGAACTATTTGGGAAGGATTTGGAGATGTGGCCTCAATGGAGGAGATGGGCCTGTCTCTGCCTCCCAAGTGCTGAGATTAAAGGCGTGCCCACCACCACCCAGCCCAATTAAATGTTTTATAAGTTGCCTTGATCATGGTGTCTAAGAACATCGATAAAACTACTCCTATGACAGCCAACAGGTGAGAGGAGGAGGCCTTCCAGTCGTTCTCAGCTGTGTAGATGAGGGAGGGAGGGAGGGAGGGAGGGAGGGAGGGAGGGAGGGAACCGATAAAACAAAAAGCGGCTGCGGTCTGTGGGAGATGGGTGGGAGGGTTAAGGACTATTCATGGCAACTGACCACCTGAGTTCTGAGTTCAATCCTTGCAACCCAGTTAAGTGGGATTCAGTGCCCTGCGTGCATGAACCCAGCTCGTGTCCTGTGGACGGGTGATGACACAGAACTGCCCAGAAGGCCAGGTACACTGGAGAAGCAGTGTGGCAGAAGTAAAGAGGGGCCCTGTCGTGCGACTTCCTCATGTGCACCACAGCACACACTCAGCTGCCCCGACAATGGAGTAAGCAGGCCCACATCCCAATTCTCATATGAAGACTGCAGGCCGGAGAAGGTCTTCACAACTCTGAAACCATGACTCTGGTGATTTATTACTCATGTCTGACACTAAGATGGAAAGTTTTTAAACATGCAAGGATTTGTAATGTTTAACACCTAACACACATAGTAATATGCACACTTAAACAGAACTTCATCAAAAGAAGAAAATTATCTATAAGAGAAGACAAAGATTTGAAAAAAAATGTTTGAGTAGAACCTAGAAAAAACAAAAGAGACAAGGAACCAGGGAATCCACTGGATGGTGTTTTTAAAATAAGCTTTCCCAAAAGCAAGAGCTTAAAGCAATGAAGTAGTCTGTGTGGTTCCTATGAGTCCAAACTCAGTATTGTGTTGTACAGGAAATGTTTATATGAACACAAGTCTGATGTTTTTACTTTAGTTAACTTTTTAGATCTACACTGAAGCCCAGGCTGGCCCTAAATGTGTGATTCCTGTTGCCTTACCCAGTGGTGGGGCACAGGCATGAATCACCACAGCTAGGCGGCTTCTATTTTTTGCTTCAAGCACATTTAAACTTATCTAGTTCTAGGCAGAAGTCCTCGTCTTCTTACCAAGCTGTTTTCTTTCCAGGCTTCTGGGAATTTGGGTCTCTGTTTTTCTCTCGACACAAGAACCTGCATGTCCTCAAAAGTGGGATGGTTGCCAACTTCTGTCTGGAAAGCCATCTGGTATTCTGGTACAGATTCACCTGTGTTTTTATAGAAAGAATGATAGAATTTCTGATTATCATAGAGGATAGAATAACAGAGGTATTTCTAGTATCAAATAAACAGAAACCATATGCATTAAACCCTTTTAAGCATACATGCAAATTTCAGACACTTTATTGTTGTTTTAGTCTATTAATATTAGGAAGTCTCAATTTTTATTGATAAATGAAATAGTAGTTTCAATCCTATACAGATATTTTACTTACCTTATTCTTTGGTGTTGGGGATCAAACTCTAAGCCTTAAGCATGGTGAGTATGTACTTGAATATTAAGCACTGTTTTTAAAACAGTGAAGTATTCTAATAACTCAGGCTCTGCTGCATTAAAAAAACAATTTTTGTAAATTTAAAAAATACTGCTAGAGGGTAAGAATGTATGGATTGCTTTAACTATTCAAATAGAAACAAAACCTTGCCATGTTTCGTGGAGCTTTTTCATCTGGGTCATTATAACTCTCCTGTTGTGTTGAGATAAGGGAGGCAGACAGTACTGCTTGGCTGCCAGGAAGATTGAAGCACACAAGAGTTAAGTGACTTTTCCAAGGAAGAGATGAAGCCAAGATTAGAACCGAAATGCCCTAGCCTCCATCCCCTCTCATCTATCTTGTTATTTTAATACGTAGAGCAGTGATGAGGCGCCAGGAAGACTGTAGGTCTCCTCCAGGCCAGTGGTTCTCAACACGTGGGTTTGTGACCCCTCTGGCAAACCTCTATTTCAAAAAATATATGACGATTCATAACAGTAGTAAAATTGTAGTTATGAAGTAGCAACAAAACTGAGTTTATGGTTGGGTGTCAAACATGAGGGTCGCAGCAATCGGAATTTGAGAATCCTGTCGTAGGCCATTGGATTTTTATGTATTAGTTGTATGGGGTTTTCTGTATAGCTCAGTATGTTTATTTATTTATTCTTTATTGGTTTTTATCAAGGCTGGGTTTCTCTGTGTAGCCTTGGCTGTCCTGGAACTCACTCTGTGGACCAGGCTGGTCTCAAACTCACAGAGCCTCCTGAGGGCTGGGATTAAAGACCTGTGCCACCACCGCCCAACTTCCGTCTGTTTATAAATGCACTTAACTTTATCACATTTTGTAAAAGTCAGAATTATTTCATCGTAAGCTGCAAACAGTACCTATTGATGGCACACACAGTTGTCAAATACTGTTGGGGACTGAACTCAAGGCCTCCAACAGTCTAAGTACATTCTTCAACACTGAGCCCTGGATAGCTTCCTACCACGGAGTTGTCTCTCAGACTAGATAGGCATTTTAAAATGGTTTTGACTGGTATTAAATTTAGGAGTGAAATATTATAAGGAATATTTAATACCTAAACTTATGCCTGAACTCTGATCTCATGTTAGAAAATAAAGAAAAATACCAGGATTTGGTACAACAAGCAACCAAATTTAAGAGGAGAGACGGAAACATCACTCACCAAAGAAAAATCTAAAACTTAAAAGAAATGTTGTTTAACTCAGAAGAATGATCTAATTATGGAGAAGTTTAGGAAGGAATATTGATAGATAACTGAAGCACTTATTTTATTTTTTAACTTTTATGATTGTCTTAGTCAATGTTCTATTGCTGTGAAGAGACACCATAACTATTTAGGCAGTTTTTTTTTTTTTTTTGGTTTTTCGAGGCAGGGTTTCTATATGGTTTTGGAGCCTGTCCTGGAACTAGCTCTTGTAGACCAGGCTGGTCTCGAACTCACAGAGATCCGCCTGCCTCTGCCTCCCCAGTGCTGGGATTAAAGGCGTGCGCCACCACCGCCCAGCTAGGCAGTTTTTTTTTTTTTTAATAAAAGAAAGCATTTAATTAAGAGCTTGCTTATAGTTTCAGCGGCTTAGTCCATTATCCTCATGGCAGGGAGCATGGCAGGCATTGCAGGCATGGTGCTGAAGAAGTAGTTAGAGCTATCTCTTGATCCATACCAAAAGCAAGAAACTGGGTCTTTTGAAACCTCAGTTTCTTTTAAGTTCCTGGCTGCTAATCTATTTTTCAGGCCTCTACATACTTCTCTAAAACCAGATTCTTTTCTTGAATTTATTATAACCAAGTGAGAAAGAAGATACAACTGTATCACTTCTAAAAACTGACAAATCATTGGGTGATGATGGCACACCTTTAATCCCAGCACTTGGAAAGTAGAGGAAGGGGTATCTCCATGAGTTCTAGGTCAGCCTGGTCTACAAAGCTAATTCTACGAGAGCCAAGGCTACACAGAGAAACCTTGCCTAGAAAAACCAAAACAAACCAAGAGTTAAAAACGAAGCCCTGATAAATTAGCAGCGGTTCTTACCGGGGAAGAGGTCTGTACATCTCATGAACACCTCCCAGTAGATCAGCCCCAGCGCATACATGTCTACCTGCTTCAACGCGGACTCACAGTCCCTCAGGTTCACAGCTCCTTCCAGCACTTCGGGTGCCATATAGCGAATTGTGCCAACCTGGTGAATTAAGAGTGTTATTTTAAAGAAATAAAATGCAACATATCCTGAAGAGCAAACATTAGCCCAGAAATCGCATGTAAAATTTACTCCTGTTGGGGCTGGAGAGATGGCTTAGTGGTTAAGAACACTGGTTGCTCTCCCAGAGGACATGGGTTCATTTCCCAGCACCCACATGGCAGTTCACAACTGTAACTCCAGTTCCAGGGAATCTGATACCTTCATACCAAATGCATATAAAATAAAGTTAATTTGTTTTTTTAATTTACTCCTGTTAATGAAACTACTCAACCCAAAGCAAGGTCACTGTACGTTAAAAATCTCTCCCCTCTCAATATAAAGTAAGTGTTCCTATGAGAGAACAAAGTAAGCGTTCCTTTACCAACTTTCAAAAATCCAGCTGGACTATGTTGGTGCACACCTTTAATCCCAACATTCGGGAGGCAGAGGCAGGTGGATCTCTGTGAGTTCAAGACCAGCCTGGCCTACAGAGTTTCCAGGACAGCCAGGGCTACACAGAGAGACCATGTCTTGAAAAACCAAAACCAAACAAACAAACAAAAACCATGAGACTGCAGGCTGTTCTATAATTAATTGTCTATTTCATTGCCCGTCTTTGCAATACAGTCAATAATGCAAAACAAAAACTGTCAAACATGATGAGAAAATGTCAAAGCACTATGTACATAAAATTTTTAAAAAATGAATAATTTTAAAAAATTGCAAATCTTTACCTACATCTATGTATGTGAAGCAGAGAAAAGGGTCAGGAAAGATATGTCGACATTGTAACCACAGAGTAGACTTTCCCATCTCAAACTTGATAACCTTACTCTTGCTTCAAAATCAATTCTGGCTGGGTCTGCGTAGGACTTGCCTGAAATCTCAACCCTCAGAGGAGGACGGTAAACTCAAGGCCAAACTTGGCCATATAAAGAGAGTCTGACTCAAAAAACAAACCAACAGAAAACACAATCTAATAAATTCCCTTTAATAACAAAAAAATCAATTCCTAGATATATCTCCCTAATGTTTGTTCAAACAACCTGGAATTTTTCAAAATAAACTGATCAGTTTTACACAGGTCTTTATACAATGTATTTGGTAGTTCCTAATGTCTAACCCTAACTGATGTGGGAGTGTCATATATCAATCTGTTGATTTCATTGGTTAAGCAATAAAGAAACTGCTTGGCCCTCATAGGTTAAAACATAGGTGGGTGGAGTAAACAGAACAGAAGGCTGGGAGAAAGAAGCTGAGTCAGTGAGTCGCCATGATTCTTCCACTCCAGGCAGACGCAGGTTAAGATCATTCCTGGTAAGCCAGCTCGTGGGCTACACAGATTATAAGAAATGGGCTAGTCCAGGTGCGAGAGTTAGCCGAGAAAAGGCTAGATATAATGGGCCAAGCGGTGTTTAAAAGAATACAGTTTCCGTGTAATTATTTCGGGGCATAAGCTAGAGCTAGCCATGTGGGTGGCCGGGTGCTGGGAACGCAGGCCCACCGCTCATATTACAATACCTAACAGCCTGTAGCTAACAGTGTTAACAGTTAACAGATAACTGCTACAGTGTTTCGATTTTGTAGTATCATTGTATGTTAATGGACTCACCTCACTTATAGCTGCATTATCCTCTTCCCCTGGGCGCACCAGTCTGTTTCCAGTTAGCCTCATGGACAAACCGAAGTCGCTGATGACACACGTGCCATCATTTTTTACCAGGACATTTCTGCTATTTAAATCTCGATGAGAAATTGCAGGTTTATAATGATCTGTTTGGATAATTTCAAACACTTATTAATGCTTAGGTAGAATTATTTGGGGATAATATTAACATGAGATAACAGGCGCTACATACATGTAAATAAAAGATAGAACTATTTTCCACCCATTATAGCTGTCTAAAAAAATGGGGCTAGGGAAAGAAACCTGATTATCAAGACACATGCCTGCAATCCTAGCGCTTGGGATGTAGAGGCAGGAAGATTATGAGTTTGATCAACATGGGTGTCACAACCCAAATCAGAACCTCACAATTTCAACTTATTACTACTTTCCAAGGGTAACTATTAGTAACTAACTCCTCTTAGATACACAGTTAATCAAGCACTGAACATTCAACTGAATCTAACAGTAAACACAGTTCTAACTGTTGACACAAGCGAGTTTTTTTCTCTTCATTTCTTTCTTTCTGTTTTGTTTCCACGGTTGTGCTTGGTTGGTTAGTAGGTTGGCTGGTTTTTCAGACAGGGTTTCATGTAAATCAGGCTGGTCTCTGTGGAACTATCACTCATCTTCAGAGAAACTTCTTGCAGCAGATGGAGACCATCACAGAAGGCCACGACTGATCGAAATGTGGAGAAGGACTCACCAGCAGGTAGCAAGCCCCAGCTGATAGAAGCACAACACAACACCTACACCTACGACTCAGAACATCACGAAAGGGTGAACAGACCACAAGAGCCAGAGCACCAGGACACCTGGTAAGAAACAATCTTCTACATAGGACAGGCAAGCGGCACCCATAAAATCCCAACAATACGGTAGCTGAAAGAAGACCTGAACAATGACATCAGGGGATAAGCCAACAAAAATGGAGGAAATCTGACACAGCTTCATTCTAGGTAAAGAGCTAAGATAATTAAAGACAGCTGAGAGAGAGAGAATCGTTCTTCCATAGAATGAGCCCCCTAATTGGCTATTTAATCCCAAGTGGTCAGCCCTAAAGCATATTTACATATGAGCAGCACTCACTGATTCAGTGAGATGTCCTAGAGCTTACTATGTCGGCTGGCCTCAGACTCAGAGATTCGCCTGCCTCTGCCTCCAAAGTGCTAGGAATAAAGGCATGAGCCACTGTTTGAGAAAAATCTTTCTTTGTTTAAGCAAAGAAATTTCAGCCAGTATTTGACTTATAACCTTGCTGAATTTTGCAAACCTTGAAAGGGGAATCAGGATGATATTTTAAATTCTGCTTTAAGCCAGCGTCTAAAGGAGTTATATCTAAAGTAAGGAACAGGTCCAATGGCTGACGGCTAAAACACCGAAGCAAGCACACCGGCTGCTGACACAGCAATAACAGGTCAGTCTTGTACCCAAGGAAAGACATCGAGTAAATGAGCCAATAAATTATTCAGAAGAAATTATTTATATATGAAGCATCAGCTAGAAAAGATGATCCATGCTATTATATAATGGAACAAAGACCTAAGAAACGGATACATTAAGTATCCTCCCTAACGAGGTCAGGGACACTACAGGAACAGCGACGGTTACAATGTGACAAAATGTGGTCCCCAAGTGGAAACCTGAGAAAGCACAGACACACTAATTTAGGGGCGCCTGTGATGTGAGTATATTTTGAAACAAAGTGAGAAGTGAATGTATTTAAAAGAGGTGCTCTGGACAACTAGTTAAAGAACTCAGGAAAGAAAGCTGAAGAAGGTGTAAGCTACAACAGGGGATGTAATACAGTTTCAAAATACTGGCCAACACTGCCTTCCATCCCTGTTTAACAACAGAACCCCACTTTGCCTGAAGAGCAATCCACCCAACAAAAACAAAACAGAACAATTATATTCTTGGTCTCCAGTGGGTAAGAATGAATTAGTTCTAAGAAACAAAACAGGTACACAAGAGGAACTTTTGAAGGTGGAAGGGGACAACTCCCTACCTAGAACATAGCACAGAGGACAAAGAAATAACTATGAAAATGTGATCCATAGGTAAGGGACAGTACAGAAAAATACAGGAGCCTCGTGTCTAATATCATGCTGTCAAACCCGTCCCTGACACCCTCACTTTAGGTTCTGGTTTTGTTTGTTGCTGGGGACTGAACCCGAGAGCCTCACGCACACTATGCTCTACCACTGGCCTGTAAGCTCAGTCCTCTCTCTGTTTCTTCCTCCTCCTTTTATGAGACAGGTCTCACTCTGCAGTCAAGGGATACCTTCAACTCACAATCCCCCTGTTTCAACCTCCTGAGTATGAGGATTGTAATTAGTATACGCCAACTTAATCGACCTCTTTAGATTTTTTTTTTTAAAGCAGGGTCCTGCCACCACCATGCCTAACCCTCGAGATTTTTTTTTAATATTTATTTATTTATTATGTATACAATATTCTCTCTGTGTGTATGCCTGCAGGCCAGATTTCATTACAGATGGTTGTGAGCCACCATGTGGTTGCTGGGAATTGAACTCAGGACCTTTGGAAGAGCAGGCAATGCTCTTAACCTCTGAGCCATCTCTCCAGCCCCGAGATTTTTATAAGTGTATGAGAAAGAAGAAAATTTTCTTTTTCTTTCTTTCTTCTTTTTTTTTTTTTTTGGTTTTTTGAGACAGGGTTTCTCTGTAGCTTTGGAGCCTATCCTGGAACTCGCTCTTATAGACCACGCTGGCCTCGAACTCACAGAGATCACCCTGCCTCTGCCTCCTGAGTGCTGGGATTAAAGGCGTGTGCCACCACCACCTGGCAAAAATTTTCTTTATTAATAAAACCACTGTTATATCTTCCCTCTCGATTCTAGCTAGCAGGATATGAATTTATAAAAAGATGCTTGAGAATTACAACTTATGTAATAAAAATTCAAGTAATATTAAAACTAATACATTGTAATTTATTCCATAAACAAAATAAATACAAGGAAAATATAGCCTAGTTAAGAGTATTAACCTAAGGTTCTCAATTAGACTTCAAGAGATCTGAAAAACCTCTAGGATTTTCTTTGCCTGGTCTTATGATATCAGATATCAAATGTAGGGCCTTACACAAGCTAAGGAAGCATTCTATCACTGAAATATACTCCCCCTAAAATAATTTTCTCTAAAATTAGCTGTATGTATATTTTTAGAAGGAAAGTCTTCAAATTCTTAATGAAATCCATGCTTGCTTTTCTTTCTATTATATTCAAGTATATTTCCTGATAATGAAGCTTTCAAACAACTGGTTAATATTCATATTTTAACAATATAAGTTATGGCTTTTCTTCTAAAATATGATTAAAATTTTATTTCTCTTACCTCCTCGTGGTAATTCTGTGTGCAGATAAGCCAATCCTCTAGTCACAGAATGAGCCAACCGGCAAGAGCTTACCCAGTCACTTGTATGGAGACTCAAATATTTGCATAGAGATCCCTGTATAAAGGAAAAAGTATACCAAAGAAGTTAAATTCATGTGCTTCAACAAGAAGAGGTAACAACCTTATGAAGGATTTGCACAGGCTAGGATTACATGAAGCACTAATGATAAAGATAAGGTATATCTGAAAAGGAAAGTGAGAGAGGGCGTTCTGGCTAGTTTCATGTAAACTCTGACACAAGCTGAAGTCCTCTGGGAAGAGGGAGCCTTAACTGAGAAAATGCCTCCGTATAATCAGGCTGCAGCCAGGCCTGTAGAGCACTTTCCTAGTGATTGATGTGGGCGGGCCCAGCCCATCGTGGGTGGGCTCACTACCGGGCAGGTGGTCTTGAGGTTTTACAAAAAAGCCGAATGACCACAAAACAAAACAAACAAGTCAACTGCAGTGGCACACACTAATGCCACCACCACTTGAGAGGCAGAGGCAGGTGACTCTCTGAATTTGACGCCAGCCTGGTCTACACAGTGAGTTCAAGGACCCTGTCTGGAAACAATCAACAACAACAACAAGAACACCCACAAAATCAAGAAAGAAGGATGAGCAAGCCAGTAAGTGGCGCCATCCATGGCCTCTGCAGAGCTCCTACCTCCAGGCTCCTGCCCTGGGTGAGTCCCTGAGAGGGTGAGCAGTGATGTGGGAGAGTAAGCTGAGTAACCCTTTCCTCCCCAACTCGCTTTTGGTCACAGTCTCATCCCAGCAACAGAAACCCCAACTAGGACAGCGGAAAGAAGGAACTTAAGTATCAGGTTTTAGGTTTCAAATATTAAATTACAGATGGTTACTTCCTTTTAAACATTTCTTTGGGCTATCAGATTAACTTGGGAAAAATTTTAAGCCAAAATTTTATAAACAATATTGTTATGGTTTATAAGTAGAACACATATGTCTCCTGTAAATCTATACTGTTAGCCCTCTATACCTGCAGGCTTCACATCCTGGGGTCAATCAGCTACATAAAAAATACTCAGAGATGTGGCCTGATGGAAAAGTACTCGCTTGGTATACCCAGACCCTGGTTTTATCTCCAATAGAGTCAGGAAAAACAAACAAATAATAACCCAAAGAATCTTTGCATCTGTACATAACATTATTTTTTCTTATCATTGTTTCCTAAATAAATGATATAACAACTACTAACATGGCATTTACACGGTATAATAAGAAAGATATGAATGAGTAATAAGCACCGCTACATGGCATTTTCTATAAGGGGCTTGAACAGCTGTGATTTTGGGGTGTGTGTGTGTGTGCCTGAGGATGCTAAGGGATGACTGTATGCATGTATCTGTTCACCTCAAAGTATTCACCTACAAATTACAATGAGCTTCTGATTAGGCAAGGAGCTTACACAAGAATGAATGTCAATCAAGGTACTGTAAAGTCTGATGAAAAGGTCTGGCTAAAGAAACAGAGAGAAAGTTAAAGAGAAGGGAAGAGGGAAGGGTAAGGAAAGGAAGGCATGAGGGAGGAACAGAAGGAGTGAAGAAAAGGAAAAATGAGAGAAGAGAGACGAATAAAGAGAATCATTAGTGTTTTGTTATTATTTAAGATGGGGGTCTTAGGGCTGGAGAGATGGCTCAGAAGTTAAGTGCACACTGGCTGCTCTTCCAGAGGTCCTGAGTTCAATTCCCAATAACCACATGGTGGCTCACAGCCATCTATAATGAGACCTGGCGCCCCCTTCTGGCATGCGGGCACACATGGAAGGAATGATGTACACATAATAAATAATTTTTTGTTTTGTTTTGTTTTGTTTTTTTCGAGACAGGGTTTCTCTGTGGTTTTGGAGCCTGTCCTGGAACTAGCTCTTGTAGACCAGGCTGGTCTCGAACTCACAGAGATCCGCCTGCCTCTAAATAAATAATTTTTTTTTTAAAGATTTATTTATTTATTATGTATACAACATTCTCCCTCCACATACGTCCACACACCAGAAGAGGGCACCAGATCTCGTTACAGATGGTTGTGAGCCTCCATGTGGTTGCTGGGAATTGAACTCAGGACCTCTGGAAGAGCAGCCAGTGCTCTAAACCGCTGAGCCATCTCTCCAGCCCAATAAATAAATTTTTAAAAAATAAGATGGGGTCTTAGAGTAATAGCCCAGGCTGGCCTGAATTCACAGTCCTTCCACCTTGGCCTCCTTTCTGGTGCTAGGATCACAGATATGTGCCATGATACCTGGCAGACTGATGTATCTGATTCAAATTCTGACATAAGATCCTTATTTCACTAATAACAGAACACTAATAACACGTTTATAAACAAGCAAAACTCTATAACACATCCAAAAAATCTTTAACAGAAAGCACACTAAATGACAGAAACTTTTTATGAAGAACTTACGTTGGGATAATACTCCATCACCAGCAAATACTCCATGCGTCCATCTGCAGTGAGTCTCTCATCTCCAACTATAAAGCGAGCAATGTTGTCATGCTCCATCAAAGGCACTCTGTAAATGTTTTTTTCATTTATAAAATTCTGACGGTTTGCAAAAGAAAATACTTTTACAGCAACTGGACGCTCATCCAAGGAACCTTTATACACTGCTCCATATCGACCCCGTCCAATCAGCTGCAAGTTTGTTTTTAAAAAGGCAAGGTATTAATTAGTTCATATTAATATTGAACAATTAAATACTTAAAAGAAAAAACAAACAAACTCTAATTCCCCACTATAGACAGCAGCTCTCTTTTGCCCTCAGTTTATTCCAGTACCAAGAAGCAACCGACAGATGTCTGTGTATGGAAAGACTAAGGAACTGTCTACCTCACTAACCAACCTTCCAATAGATGAAAGCTAAACACTGGACAGAACTACAAGAAAACCCTAAATACACTGAGGAGTTAAGAGTGTAAAAGGCACCAAAGCATAGAAGAAAGGGACCCATGTGGTGAGCTGCCAGCTGCTATGGGCTTCAGCTGGAAGGCAGACTACTCAGCTTCGAGCAATGCAACTGAAAATGGTATAGGAGGGTCGTTTGAACGAGGAGAGCTTCTACAGAGTGAGGGGAAGAAGCCTCAAAAGGATGAAACCAGAACAAGAGAATCCAGTGAACACTGATTCTAGCTAAATATAATAACTGAACTAAGATTTGGGCTTCTGCCCAAGTGTTAGGTTTGTAATCTGTGTCCACCAGTTAATAGCTTACAAAAATCAACACACAGGGCTGGAGAGATACTCAGTGGTTGACAGAATGTTCTAACCTTCCAGAGGGCCTAAGCTCGGTTCCCAGCACCCACCTCACAGCTGTGAGGAGTGGCTCACAGTGACCTGTAATTCCAGGTCCAGGAGACCCAACACCTCTTCCTAACCCCCACAGGTCATATGCATATGCACACAGATAACTAAAATAAATTTCTAAAAAACCGCAACCATTAGAAATTAGCCAGAATCTGGGAGCTTACACACAGTACCTAGAATAAAAAATCTACTCCATGCATAAAGAAACAGCAATAGCAAAATGTCACCAGTCTCTTTATTTTGGACTTCTGGGGAATTTTCATTAAAACAGGTTGGGGGATCTACTGTCTTTTTCTTTTCTCTTTTCTTTTTATGTGGTTTATTTGTTTGTTTTTTGGTTTTAGAGACAGGGTTTCTCTATGCAACAGTACTGGCTGTCATGGAATGCACTCTGTAGACCAGGCTGGCCTCAAACTCAGAGATCCACCTGCCTCTGCCTCCCGAGTGTGGGATTAAAGGCGTGGGCTACCATAGACTGGTTCCTTCACTTTATTTTTAAACGGGTCTCACTATAAATATACCTGGAACTATAAAATTACCCTGGAACTTGCTACACAGACCAGGTTGGCCTGGAACCTGAGGAAATCCCCTTGCTTCTGCTTCCTGACTGCTGGAATTACCGGTGTGCACCACCAGCTCCTGACACTTCAGGAGAACAAGGAGCAACCATGCCAGCCAACAGTCGCAGCACAGCCTCACCTCCAGGAGCTTCAGGTTATCCAGGTCCAGAGACGGCTCTGAGGCTGCGGCCTCCATCATGTTCATGCTGTGAAGACCCTGCTTCCGGTCTCCTGGAAAAGTAAGGGATTACTGATGGGAGACTTTCTTAACATGAAAACGCCACCTTTCTAGTATTGCAGTTAAGAAGAGCTACAGCAGGGGTTAGAATAACTCATTAAAATAGGAATCACTGACAAGTGAAGATGAATATTAAGCACCGTGAGAGCAGATTCTGTGAGATAATTCCATGACGACGCAGTATTAAAGTGGAAAATCCTAATACTGAATTCAAGAAAATTTTCACAGAATTATTCAAATGAATGAGTAAGTGCTGATTTCCTAAACAACCCATCACACCTAAGATTTATCAGAACTGGGGTGTGGAGAGATGGCTCAGTGGTTAGAGCACTGATTGTTCTTCTAGCAGACATGGGTTCGATTCCCAGCACCCACACAGCAGCTCACAACTGTCTGTAATTCCAAAGTCTGACACTCTCGCAAAATACCAACGCACATGAAGTAAAAATAAAATCCTTAAAAAAATTATTAGAACTGACCTAGTGAAAAATTACTGACTTTTTCATTTAAAAAAATAGCATTATGGATATACAGTTTTTAAGTTGTTACAGAGGTAATACGAAAGCACTTACAGATCTCTGGTATCTGTGCTTTGACTAAAAGAGTTCAGTGATATGAAAGGCGTAGCGAGTGCGGATTTAGAGTTAAGTAACCTTGCCTGCAAGTAATAACTGTTGCAGTTGGGTAACACACATTTTGGGTAAGTTTAAAACCTCTTGTTGGACGGGAGCTTGGAAGGAGGGCTCAGCAGTCAAGAGCACTGGCTGCTCTTCTTAAGGTTCTTGAGCTCAATTCCCAGCACCCACAGGGTGGCTCACAACCATCTATAATGGAATCTGATGCCTTCTTCTGGCATAAAGCCAATAGAGCGCTCACAGACACATAAAATAAATCTTAAAAAAAAAAAAATATCCTGTCTGGGCTGAAGGGATGGCTCAGCTTTAAGAGAGCTTGCTAGGCTTTCCAAAGAGCTGAGTTCACGTTTCAGCACCCACATTAGGTGGCTCACAACCACCTTTAACTCTAGCTCTAAGATATGCAATGCCATCTCCGGCCTCCTCGGGAAACACACATGCCATGACATACAGAGCCACAGGCAGACACATGAATAAAAATAAAATTTTAAAAAAACTTCTTGTAAAAACTGGGGAGAAATGTTTGTTGAAGCTGAGAATTGGAGCTACTATAGCTCAGAGTTTCTGTTTGTATAAACATTTTCCACAAACATTTTTAAAAAAAGAAGCAACAGGGATGGCAAGATGGCTCAGCTGGTAAAGATGCTTGCCAACAAGCTGGGTGGGGGTGGCGCACCCAGCGTTCAGGAAGCAAAGATAGGCAGATCTCTGTAAAAGAAATTTTTTAAAGAAAATAAATTCTGATTTTAAATGGCATTTTCCTAAACGAGATAAAAAATACTATTTTTTTTTTACCTGTCAATAGTCTGTATCCAAAACATAAGGCGACTATCAAAACAGCTAATACAGAGACTGATGCCAAAGCAATGATTATTGTCTCGTCTCGATTAAATGAATGAGGTGGACCTAAAAGAAAACAGAAAAGTATTTCATTTAATACTGACAAAATAGCCTTTACAACAGCATTATTAATTATTAATATGCAATCAAATCAGTAATATTTTTGCATAAAAAATTAGAGAAAAAAATTAATCAATTTGTGATAGTCATAAATGACATGTTTTGATCACAGATTGTCTTATGTAAACTTAAAATATCTGTCAGGAATGGTCCTAATTATGAAAATATCAACTAGGTGCTGGAAAGAAGGATCACTGATGAAGAGTATATACCGCTCTTTCAGAGTCCCAGCACCCATATCACACAGTTCACAATCACCTGTAACTCCAGCTCTGTATGACCTGACACCTTCTCTGGCTTCTGAGGGTACCTGCAACCATACACACACATATCCTGGCCCCAACATTCATATTTAATTAAAACATATAAAATATCAACCATATCACAGAACAAGACAGTATACTTAAGCACACAGAACTAGAATTTTGAACTATATTATTTTTAAAAAGAAAGGGCTCTTGCCAGGTAGCTGTGGTGGTTTGGATGAGAACAGCCCTCTCACCAGCTAGAGGAACTGTTTGGGAAGGGTTAGGAGGTGTGATCTTATTGGAGGATATAAGTCACTGGGGGTGGACTTTGAGGGTCTTTCTATCACAAAAAACAAAAACAACAAAAACAAAAAAACTAAGGGCAGTAGCTGAGGCTGACCTTGAACTCAGGGCAATTCTTCTGCCTCTGCCTCCTAAATGCTGGGACTACAGGTGTGCACCACTAAGCCCAGCTTCATATTTTGCTTTAAAATGTGGCTTTAAACCATGAGTTCAATAGCTTCAACAGGTTGTTGACTCTGGTGTGCCTTGTTTCCTCATTTATAAGAAGTACCCGTAGCTCACATGTCGATTATGAAGCTGGATGGGGGTCTACGTGCTTAGAAAAGTACAAAGTTCTACGCAGCCAATGCTAATTTAGATCATTAGTATTTAAGCCAGGCGGTGGTGGCGCACGCCTTTAATCCCAGCACTCGAGAGGCAGAGGCAGATGGATCTCTGTGAGTTCGAGACCAGCCTGGTCTATAAGAGCAAGTTCCAGGACAGGCTCCAAAGCTACAGAGAAACAAAACAAAACGGGTCATCAGTATTGATATCTTTAATATTAATGAAAAGGACCTTTCTTTGTGGGCAGCTAAATCTAAATCGAACCTGAAGCTCAGTCCCTCTCTCTCCTTACCTGACCTTGAGAAAAATTCTTTCTACGCGAACCCATGTTTACTGCTAGCAGAACACAAGTAGCTAAATTACAAGGCTATCATGAGCATGGAAACATTTATATGATGGCTCCATTTTAGGGGTCAGATCTTATCGACAGCAAATACCCTTAGGGATAGATGTCCACTAACTAGAAAACACCTACAAGGAGCAGTAGGAGAACAAGGATTCAGCTGCAGTAGCTCTGTGAAGAATAGGAACAAAGAGAAGCTGAAGGATGTATTTGTCAGCATGCTTTAAATAGCTATAAAGAACGACTAGATCCGGCAGTACATATGCAAGGCAGCAGTCTTTACAGAACACAAAATAACCACTTAAAAGTCAGCAGTCTAACGTACAGTGAGCTCTCCTAGGAGTGGCGAGGCCACAGCTACCTACACTTAATCATTCTTTCCATTCGATCGAAATGAAACACACTAAATTTTGAACTTTTAAACTTATCATTCTTGTTTGCTTGTTTCTTTAGACTTTTTTTTTTTTTTGAGAGAGAGAGAGAGAGAGGGAGGGAGGGAGAGAGAGAGAGAGAGACTGAGACTCACTGTGTCTAATTCACTTTGTAAACCAGTCTGGCTTTGAACTCACAAAGATCCTCATCAGTGAGGCTGAGGTTGAGCCTCACTGGTGCTGGGATTAAAAGCACACACCTTTTTTTTTTTTTTTTTTTTTTTTTTTGGTTTTTCGAGACAGGGTTTCTCTGTGGTTTTGGAGCCTGTCCTGGAACTAGCTCTGTAGACCAGGCTGGTCCCGAACTCACAGAGATCCGCCTGCCTCTGCCTCCCGAGTGCTGGGATTAAAGGCGTGCGCCACAACCGCCCGGCAAGCACGCACCATTTTGACTGACAATTTTATCATTCCTTATAGTCAATTAAAATCAAGCATAATATATGTTAAAATTTTCTTAGTTGTGTTCAAACTAGAACTTTCTATAACAAATATGAAACACCTCAATGTCAGGGTTTCTTCAGAAAATTTATCTCAAATTTTGCACAGCCTAACAAAATGCCAAAACCAGTATTTCTAGAAAAGAATGTGTAGATGTGGTGAAATATTCTTAAATTATAAGACAATTATTATATACTAACAGACTTTTTAACATACTGATAACTGTAGTTAACAACTCTTACAGCATATAGTAATTTACTATAGATGGAAAGATTGTGTATAGACACCCATACTGGCTAGGGATCTAACTCAGTGGCAGAGTGTTTAACATACGGATAACTGTAGTTAACAACTCTTACAGCATATAGTGATTTACTATAGATGGAAAGATTGTGTATAGACACCCATACTGGCTAGGGATCTAACTCAGTGGCAGAGTGTTTGCCTAGAATGTGCAAGGCCCTGGATTTGCTCTCCAGCACCACAGAAAGAAAGCCAACCAACTGACCCCTGTCTTCCTCCAAACAACTAAATTCCACCTCAACTAAGGTTACTAGCATGCCTATAATTCTTTTCAAAGATTAAACAGGAAGAAGAAAAGAATAAAGGTTATACACTGCTGATGAGAATACGAAATGGCACTGATGTAACAATTTAGTAGATCCTCAAAAGCTCAGAATTTTCACATTCAGCAGTTCACTCCTAGGCAGACACAAAAAGAACTGAAAGTCAGCGGTCAAATCAAAACTCCCACAGAAACATCAACAGCATCACTAGACACCGTAACTACAAGCAGAAATGCAAATGCTCACACTTGTGAGTCAATAAGCAGATATGGGACACCTAAAAATGGGCACATATTTTATGATTCCATTCATATCCAGAACAGGCAAATCCAGAGAGACAAGAAGCAGGTTAGGAGAGGCCAGGCACAGGAAAAGAGAGTTACTTCTCATTAGATGGAGGATCCCTTGGGGGGTGACGAAATGTTTTGGAACTACACAGAGAAAATGGCTGCCCAATACTGTAAAGTATCGAAGAGTAAATGTTTAATCTAGCTCTTCTGTTATAAAACTGTACCCAGTACAAAACTGCTCACTTTAAGAATGTGTTAAATTCAGACAGGTGTAGCCAGAACCTGGAAACAACCTAGATGCCCTTCAAAGGAAGAATGGATGAAGAAAGTATGGAATATATACACACTAGAACTACGCTGCGGTAAAAAACAATGACTTCTCAAATTTTGCATGCAAATGGATGGAAATTGAAAACATTATCCTGAGTGAGGTAACTCAGACCCAAAAAGATGAATATGGGATGTACTCACTCATAATTGGTTTCTAGCCATAAACAAGGGTCACGGAGTCTACAATTGGTGATCCCAAAGAAGCTAAGTAAGAAGAACCTTCATCTGGTGATGGATGGAGATAGAGACAGAGACCCACACTGGAGCACTGGACTGAGCTCCCAAGGTCCCAATGAGGAGCAGAAGGAGGGAGAACATGAGCAAAGAAGTTGGGACCACGAGGGGTGCACCCACCCACTGAGACAGTGGAGCTGATCTATTGGGAGCTCACCAAGGCCAGCTGGACTGTGACTGAAAAAGCATGGGTTAAAACCGGACTCTGAACATGGCGAACAATGAGGGCTGATGAGAAGCCAAGGACAATGGCACGGGGTTTTGAACCTACGTAATGTGCTGGCTTTGTGGGAGCCTATCCAGTTTGGATGTTCACCTTCCTAGAAATGGATGGAGAGGGGAGGACCTAGGACTTACCACAGGGCAGGGAACCCTGACTGCTCTTTGGACTGGAGAGGGATGGGGAGAGGAGTGGGAGGAGGGGGAGGGAAATGGGAGGCTGGGAGGAGGTGGAAACTTGTTTTTTTTTTTCTCCTTTTCTCAATAAAAAAATGAAAGAAAAAAAAATTCAGACAGGTGGTGGTGGCTCACACCTCTAATCCCAGCACTCAGGATACAGAGGCAGGTAGGTGGATCTTCATGAATTTGAGGCCAGCCTGATCTACAAGAGCTAGTTCCAGTTCAAGACCAGCCTGGTGGCCGGGCGGTGGTGGTGCACGCCTTTAATCCCAGCACTCAGGAGGCAGAGGCAGGCGGATCTCTGTGAGTTCGAGGCCAGCCTGGTCTACAAAGGGAGTTCCAGGACAGGCTCCAAAGCTACAGAGAAACCCTGTCTCGAAAAACCAAAAAAAAAAAAAAAAAAAAAGACCAGCCTGGTCTACAGAGCAAGTTCCAGAACAGCCAGTACTACACACAGAAAAACCCTGTCTGGAAAAATCAAACAATTTGTTTAAAAAAAAAAAAAACCAACAAGAATTTGTTAAAACTCAAAACGGAAATCTTATTTCAACATACATACAATTAAATAATGTTTTTTAAACACAAGATCTATATAAATATTTTAAGTGCCTATAGATTATCTTCTCTTATTAAGATTATTAAACACTAGGCTGGTAAGATGGTGGAAGGAAAACTAATTAGCAAAATATGTCTCTGATCTCTACATATGTAGCAAGGCACTGACCCCATCTCATGCACAGACACGCACAAACATGTGCGCGCACACACACATATACACACCCCCTAAAAAACAAAACTAATATAGTACACCTCCCCGTCCAAGGAGCTATATTACAGGATGCTTCTAATAGCACTGAATAGAGAATAGAATTACTACTCCTAATTTGTGGGTTCCAGATTTGTATATACACCTAAACATTACCTAAAAGTACTTGGGAGAAATCCAGAAAATTTCAAAGAACAAAACTTGAATTTGCCACACTAACCACTACCATGAATCCACATGAAGGAGTGATGTTTAAGATGACCAGCTGCAGCTC